TTTACAAGCCTGTACTTTGTTACTTTTACTTGAGTAAAGAAGTTTAATCAGTACTTCCACTTTTACCAGAGTATTTTTTAACACAAGTATCTGTACTTTTACTCAAGTACGGAAAGTGAGTACTTTTGCCATCTCTGGTTTTCATATAATACAGCAACAGAATTGAGACAAAGAAGATAAATAATCTGAAAAATAAAAAAGTGTTCTATGCATTCGTATTCAGCCCCCATTATCCTGATTACACTAAAGAAAAAAATAATCAAATGGGATTACTTTTGGCTTCGATGGAATAACTCCAACTACACTATGTGCAGGGGAATCTTAGTCAACTAGAATGTAGTTAAAAAGTTAATTAATTTCTATAATTCAGTTCATTAAATGATGCACATTTTATAGACTAATTATGCACAAGCTATTTTAGGTTTGCATATTTTCTTTATTATGACAATTTTTCACCTATTTAATCAAAGCATGATATTTAAGAAAAAGAATATCAGACTATTAAAAAAAAACATTTTTAATGCAGAAATTTGGGCTTAAAACACATAAGTTTAATACCTGCCTAAAGGTAGGTAGGTTTAAAAAGTAGGGAAGTAGGGAAGTGGTCATAGTTGTAGCACAGCAGCATTGAACTTAATAAAGGGCAATCCTAAACATGAACATTTTAGAGGTTGGAGCAAGATTTTACCCTTCAGCAAAAACAATAATCCTAAACATAGAGATAGAGCTAGAAAGGGAGTGGTTGGGATCAAAATCCACACCTAAATCAAAGTGAGAGCATGTGGCAAACTAGAAAGGTGCTGATATTTTCCATCCAATCTGTTATAAGAATATGTTAAATACATCTAATCGGCAAATGGGTCAAATAAACCCCAATAGAGTCACAGCTCTTACTGCTAGGGTAATCACTGCGAAGGTAGAGGTAGAGGTAGAGGTAGGTACAGGTACAGTAGAGGTAGATTAAAAGAGCATTTGCTCAAGGATGTTTGATCCATCCATCCATGCATCTTCTCCCACTTATTCCATCAAGGGTGCAGTATGATTGGTGCCTGTCATCAGCAATCTATTGCCGAAAGGAGGGGTACATCCTGCTCAGGTTGCCAGTCTGCTGCAGGCCATGTTGGATACATATCCCTAAAAAAGTTCTAGATGTACAATTAAAAAAACAACAAAAAACATTATGCCATTTATAATTAAAAAATTAAAATAAAAAAAACTACTTTACGTTGGTCTATTACATAAAATCCCACTTAAAATTCACATAATTAATGTTGTATATTACAGTTGTCTACCTATAGAAAATATCTCCTTTGAGATTGTGTGGGTTTTTCTGAGGGTTTGTTCTGAGGTACTTTATATGTATTTTTATATTTTTGCACAAGGGTGGAGAGGAGCAACATTTTAAAGTATTTCCTGTAAATATTATTATGGGTGTACCAGAGTTAATTTTACTGCCTGTTTTATTTTGGAAATAAATGTCTGCGGAATACATATTGGTGCAGGGAACCAGTAAGCTATGAATCAATCTATTTTTTTGGGTAATGATAAAGCAAGGAATCAGGTTGTGTTAAGGCTCAGCCCCAGAAAGGAATGCATTTTTATTGATCTGGTCAGAATTGATATTTATAGTAAAAAGCAGGTTAATTCAGCAATATAGAGATATGTTTACAAGAATATATGTGTGTGTGTGTGTGGTGTGTTTGCGTGTCTGTGTACCGTACATACTCAGTCAGCATTTGTTTCTTGGTAGCCACCCCAGCAGCCAGTAAAGTACCCATGAGAGCTGACTGAAGAACTCTGACTCATTTGAAGCTAATAAGAGCTTCCTAAAGCTAAAATATGCTGCAAAATACCAAAAACAAATTGAATACACATGCTCTCACATACATTTAAAATGCTTCTCCAACTACCACAATACACATCAATAATATTTCCTTTTTCATTATCCCATTTACTGATTTTATGCTTGTTTTGGCAATCAGGCAGAGTAAGCATGTGGTGTCATGCCTATAGGGACCCACAAGGTGGTAAAATCCCCTCCAGTATACTTGAGTGCCTAATTTTAGTTCTTAGGAGAAAAAATAGCAAAAATTAAACCCGACATACACATGCACACACTTTGACATTAAACCCCAAACATCATGCAAATAATACAGCCCTCATGCTGAGATGTTTCTTATTATTTAGCCTGGTGTAGCTTTGTTTTAGACCTACGACAACAAGCTGGAAGCTGGTTCAATAACCTTAGCTGAAATGATAATTGTCAATTCCATGTGCCTCATCATCAGCTGCTGACGCGGGGGGAATGATCAGTATTCCCTGCAGCACACCTTAAATGTTCTTCAGCTTAAACAAACAAGCCCCTGAGGCCAGTTGCTGCACAGAAAATATCCAAGAGCCTTGGACATTTTCTGTGCTTTACTCTAAAAGCTGACCTGACCTGTCATTCTTTTCTCAATCAGGACAGAAGATCCCTTGGCAGAAGATGAGAAAAGAAGGTATATTTTTTATGCATTTAAAATTTTTAACCTGCTATGGCACTTTTGTAAAAAAAAAATGTTGTTTCTACTGAGCAGTAACTGACAACACGAGCTAATAAAGCAGTTTTCGTTAAATAATATAGATACTTATACACCCCTTGAACATAATTCTTTTTGTCACAGTACAACCCAATAACTAAATCACTTCTTTGTCTTTGCCAAAAATCTTGCCATCACCTTGTTTCTCAGTGTGCATGATGTTAACTTGTACACCATGAAATTAAATGTAGCTCTCACCTAGCCACAAAACAATCCTCCACTTTTTCTGTGTCTGCTGCATGACCTGTTACAAACTTTGAATAGGGCTTCTTATGTCTATCTTTGAGCAATGGCTCTCTTGTCTTTCTTTCATAAAGCTCTGATTTAGTATTTTTTTCATTTTTAACAGAATGTTCTGTACCTCTGTGACTCCTCTAAGGTTATCAGTCCACTTGGCTGCTTCTCAGAATAAGGCTCTATTAGCACAGCCTTTCCATGTAGGCTATATCTTTTACATTTTTAGATTAAACAGTGCTTTGTGAGACATTAAAAGCCAAAATTAATGTGATTTCACATAAACCTATTCTAACCCTCATCACATCTTTGTCACTGTTTCAGCTGTACTTATGCTAGAATTAGAAAAAGATGGACAGGATTTCTAAATTAAAAGTTTGCTGGATGCAGCTAGTTCCACTAAATTTGTAGCGTTGTAGTCAAGACCACACCAACCAAGACAGTATTGACACAAAGACAAGACCTTATGTGTTATATAAGTATACTTTTCAATTTAAAGGTTAATGTCATGTTATACATAAGGGCTTCAAGAGTGGAATACTGTTTTACAACGTAACCATAAGTAAAATAACTGCAGAATGCACTGGTGATAAATAGATGAAACACTCTCTTAAGTTTTCTAATTTCTACTTGGTTGTTCTCTTATAACAAGTTAATTGGTTATTGATTAAATACTTTTGCAAGAGACCGACATTTCTTCATAGGTGAAGCACACAGAAAATATATACCGTGAACACAAAGTTATTTAATCAGAAGTATCAGTGTCTCTACACCAGCAAGAAACTGTTGCACTAACATCGTCTCCTCTCCTATGATTTCCACTCAGGAATTATGGCGGCGTATATGTGGGTCTGCCTGCAGATCTGACCACAGTGGCTGCTAGTCAGTCTAAGTCCACACGAAAAGGTGAAAGTCTGCAGCAAGTATTCTTATTTTGAACAACTTTGACGACTATTTTTAGGCACATCAGGACAAAGATGCTCATTTATATCCAGCAGCTGAGCTACTTGAAAATAAAACACTCCCATTCAGCTGTATGTCTTCAACGACAAAGAACCATGAGAGAATGTATTAAATGGAAGATATCTAAACCTTGGAAATGTTATTTATTATTCACTGCTAAGTGCACAATTAACCTCATTTAGTTAAAACTCAGCTATTTTTTACACTGCATTTTGAAATTATTTTGTGCTAACAAAAGTACAGTGATTTTTTTCTTCAGTTTCTGCTATAAGAAGTATCCTCTTCTCTTTTGTCTGATGTACCTCGTTGTAAAATGCTGCATGCAGTGTGTGAGTGTTATGAACACAGTTTTGACAGGGATATAGAAAGATCAGGAAGGGGAAAAGATTCAAAATGTCAAACAATGTTCCTATAAATATCTTGTTGCTGAGTCATTATTTCTCTGCCTCTTGCAGACTAACAGCTACTGAAGGAAATTCAACAAAGGTACCTAAAATACATCAATGCAGCTTATTTGGCTATTACAGTCATTTGCTTAAACAATCAAGAGCCAAAAGCACCAAATTTAAATAAATGAGTCAACAAACACATTTTTACAAAAGGTTAAAGTAAAATTTTAAGACATCAGCATTTTTCTTAGTTTTAAGATAAGATGTTGGCATCAACTCAGGTACTTCACACATAGATTAAAGGTATAGAGGATGATCTTTTCTTTTCCAGGTGGATCATCTAAATAAATAATACATCTTTTTTGTGCATGCGCACTTTCAGGCATATATCTTTGGTGAGCTACGGTTTCAGACAGTCATTGAAGCTCACCTTTCTTAGCATGGTTGAAAATGGCAGAGGGTCGTAAGAGAAAAAGTGTCTACGAAGTGTATAAATAGAAAAGAAAGACCTCAGAAGAGGCATATATATATCCCAGAATGCTTTGCGCTGAGAGCTCTCCTCGCAAAGCATTAGTGGATTTGCTGTCAAAGCGGCCCGCTGTTGCCATAGATTGTCGCAACCAGACAGTGGCGACCAATAAAAAAGATGCTGCAACGGAGCAAAAAACAGCGATCATCTGTCGGTCAGTTAACTGAATTAACTACAGAGTCGACTATATAGTCCTTCTGTATGTTCACACAGTAAGCTTGTATGAGCTATAAGAACAGCACATTTTAAACAGGGCATGTACTTTTTTTGGAGAGTGGAGAGGGCGGGTCTTTTAATACCTTTAAGGAAAAAAATGTTATAATGCAGAAAATAAGCATTAAATACACTATATTAAATACTTTGAGGAATTGCCTTTCTTTCAAATATAGAAAAAAAAAAAAAAATCCACTGGACTTGGTTTCCAAGTTTGAATACGTTTCTCCATACCTAAGGGGCGGATCTGTTCTTCTGATTCAATTTGCATGTTTTCTAAGCTGCTATATAAAGCTTTGAACTCAACGCTAATTCTGACATTTTGAATCGAAAAAGCTTCCTGGATGAGAAGCGAAGTGTCTTCAAACTTGGAAAAACCAAGTCCAGTGGATTTTGTTTTATTTTTTGGAATGACTATGACCTGGATGACTGACAATCAACAGCCTTTCTTGGGTTACCAGTAGGGCTCCAACTAATGATCACTTTGCAAATCGATTAATTAATTTTTTCAATTAATAATCGGATAGCCAAAGGTTCCTTAAAGAAGACTTATTACGGAATTAAACCAGGTGAAACCTTTTCCACTTCAGGATTTCAGGACAGTAAATATTGACAGATTAAATATATTTATCCTAAATGTATTGCAATTTCACAATTGATGTTCAAGGATGGCCTTGAACAGGTTGCTAAACTCTGATAATGATAATTAATTAATCTATTACTGATAATTAATTAATCTATTACTGAATTAGTTGATGATTATTTCAATAATAAACTAATAACAATCTGATTAATTGTTTGAGCCCTAGTTGCCAACTTCAAAAAGTTTGGTGTATGGAGAGACTATTCATAGATTTTGCACAGGTAGGATTTTGATCTATTCAACCAAACATTGAAGTTTTCTTAGCTTTTACCACTTCCATTAATGTTTAAATTAATACATGTCTGGAGATGGAGTTGGACTTCCTGCAGTTCTACATCCTTAGTTTGGAACAAGTTGAGAGTATCTTAGACTATGTTTGCTGGATTAGAGTCATTTCCTTATTATTTAAAACAGTAAAACATAGCTGACATGGCCCTATTTTTTCTAAATGTAAAGACTTTGGCAGTGAGAAATAATTCAATAGGCGATTAAACAGATGATGTTATTGAAATACCAAAATACTGGAAGATTTAATCTGATCTCTTTGTTTTCTTTGGCTTTTCGCATATCCTTTTCTTCATGCACTATCCATATAATTCTAGTTCATCACACAGATATAATTTTTATTGGTTAATTTCCTTTGATTAATTTGTGTGTGGATTACTTGGGTTGTTGCCAACACCTGTTTGGAGTTTATACTAATGACTCCATTGGAAATTATTTGTTTTTAATTACTAATTAATACTTTCCCTAAAAATGTATATTTATGTGATAATTTAGATTTAAAATTGGAATACATACATTCAATAAAAATATATATTTTTACTAATTAGTTTCTTTTTGGAAAACTATATTTCAATAATGGGATTTTGTAAATGTGAAATTAATTATTTAAAACTGTATACTGTACATACTTCAGTAAAATATATGTAATTATGTGTGTATTTTATAAAAATCGAGTTTACTTTATGATTAAGCCTTACAGATGTGAGTAAGTGGGCAGAAAAGTCTTGTCAGACTTGTTTGCAGTTTAACCAATCAAATGTTTAGGGTTTTTATGATGATCCAAAATGACAGGTTAAACAATTGAAACAAATATCAGAACAACAATAAAGCACTGAACTCGATATTAATTAATGATTTAAACATTTCACTATTTAACTATGCGATGAATTACTTAACGACACATTTATATCAGTATTTTTTAGATTAATGTAATGGAAACATTACATTCTATTGCAATTCTCACATTTACAAAAAGCATTTGACAAAATATTAGGTGAATGGATTTTGATTAGTTTGGCTCTTGATGAAAAACTTGAACTTTGAACTATGAACCTTTTATCTTCAACAACTAAAGAGGAAGAAAGAGACAGCTCCCCCACCCTGGGACTCGTGGTTCTATGTGAGAGCAGCAGGTATTTTGACACTCCCATCGGACGACAGTCACATCAGTGGACCTCTCCTTCTCAGGAAACAAGGATACAGCCAAGTTAGCAACTAACAGTGTGGGAGTCACACAATCTCCCCGGACCCTTGGCAATAATTATTTCTGGCAAATATGTCACTGCAGTGCATGAATGCTAAATTAAAGTAGACAGATAGCTATAGCCATGAACATTTTTGCATTCAATGAGCTGCTGTAGCATCTGGACAGTTGGATGAAATTCCTTAGTATCATGCTGAACTGATATTAAGCTGATATTAAGATTGCTTTCATGATGATCTTATTGTGGACATTTGACTTCTCCTGGCCAATGATTCTCTGTATCTGTTGTGGTTGCTCCATGTGCAGTGTTGTTTTGTCCTCTCTGAAAAAACTCTGAATATATTACTTTTAAAGGAACTGATGGAGTCTTAAGAGTTTTTACAAGAAATTTTGTCAAACTGTTAACTTGTTTTCCCCTGAATAGGAACTATATACAAATTTGCAAACTTAAGAGAGCAAGCAAAATGGATCTACCAACTAAATACTAATCAGAATACATATATTATAGCACCCGCTCTCTGTGTTTGTCCCTATGAATACATGGAACTTGTGCAAAATCATCTGAAAATGAAAAATACTGGGAATAGATTTAGACTTAAGATTTGGAAAACTGATTGCATTTGTAAAACAATGTTATTTTTGAACTTTTTAATGAACAAAGGGGTGACCTGGACCCAGTCTCAAATAGAAGCCATACCATTTCTTACAGAAAAACGCCTTTTTACTCTGCAGTTCTTTGTATCTGGATGGACCTTTCCAGCACACCAGTTAGTTCGATCTCCAAGAGGGATTTTCTTGGTGCTGTCAAGCAGTGCTGGAATAATTTTACAAATGGTGAGCCTTTCATTGCCTTGTCAATGTCCTTGCCTACTTTTACTCACAATAATTACATTCTCTCTGTTGACTGAAAATTATAAAAAAGTAATTTATGGTATCAAGTTGAAGCAAATATTCAGCCTAAAAACAACTCTTATCGGCCTCACCTGTATTACATGCCGATTTGCCACGCTGGAAGCTCCGGCCTAATCAACGTTGGGACTGCACCCCCGTCATCCCCCCCTGCAGCCAATCATCATTCAAGATCTCCTTCCTCTGCTCCTCTTCCAGCCTTTTACACACCTCTGCCCCATCTCCTCCATCAGACTCAATCATCCTCTGACTTATTCCACCACCAGTGACCAGTTCCTGGGGGAAGCAGCCATGAATATGAAAGATGACTTTTTCCTCACAGGTGTGGAAATATCTGTATTAAACAGTGAAAAAAATGCATAATTAAATTAATTATGAGTAAATAGCGTATTTGTGTATGTCAGTATTTTATGGCTGCTGTTCACACAGTTATGGTGTTAAAAAAACTCACAAACTGCTGTGGTTACATTCATGTTTTAATCTTGTAAAATGAATGCATTAGGGGTGATCCTAATTGGTAATAGAAATTAAAAAACCTCTATTAGCCAGCAAACCATTTTTATAAGAAAAAAATGAGATTCTCAATAACAAAGGGGGCATTCAGGCTGTCTGAAAGGATACAATGTCAGACATTTCTGAGTTCAAAAATATAAACAATGACCTTGACTGCAACAAGTGCAATGCTGTGGAGGTCAAAGGCTGCTTTGCTGTTGTTATGCCTGAAATAATCTAATTATTTTCTGATATTACACAGAGTAGGCCCTTTACATTTATTTTTTCCAAATAGAAGTCATACTTGCAATCTGTGTACAGTGCTGTTACAAATTATGGCTGCCTTTGGGATTCGCAAAATTAATCTACCCTCCTTATGGCAGTAGACAAGAGCCCACCAAAGTCCTCATTTTAAAACAGCAGTTTGCACCACCGTTTCCCCTTTCATAGATTTGGCATGCAGTAGAACACTCGTGTCCAAAAAACATCATGCAAAATTTTTGATTTTGCACGATCAGGTTCATACAGTATAATTGAACTCTGAATTATATGATATCTAAATGAGTGTAGCATAGTGCTATTTTCCTATTGCCAAAAAAAAACAAAACTTCAGCATTCATTCTTTTCCTGCTTTGTGTGTCAACTTTCACGGTTGCTAAGCAACAGAGCTTACGGCGGTAAATCCCGCTGAAGGGTAGACCTGTTTGAATTCACAGCAAAAACTCTTCCGGTCTCCTATTTTCAAGGACTCCGAAGGATCCAGTCTTGGTAGACCGCGTCCTTGGAGGATGCAGCCCAGGTTTTCGAACAGAGCCAGGGACTTTACAAACATATTTCTACCTTTTAAACTGCTCCACATTTGATCACATTTTATGCCAAAAATGTCGCTGTATTTAATTTGGAGTTTCTGTGATAGTCCAACACAAGGTAGTGCCTTTTGTGGAAAAAAAAAAAGTGCAAGGTTTTCAAATATTATTAAGTTTAAAAACTCAAAAGTTTACATTATATTAAAGTTTGTTTGCATTTTGAGAAATTTGAAACTATTAAAGAGGTGTGAATACTTCTGTTAGGCTTGTTTAGCTCTTTTTAATGTAAATCCCTTTATTGTCCCACAATGGGGAAATACACTCTCTGCATTTGACCCATCCCATCAGGAATCGGTGAGCTGCCATAGTGTGGCACCCGGGGAGCAGTGTGGGGTTAAGGTTTTTTGCTCAGGAATCCAAGTGGCAGTCTGTGGGGATCAAACTAGGTGATTGCAACCCTCACAGAACATAAGTGCACTGCTCTAACCCACTCTAACACTCCTATCTAGTTTTTGCTACTGTCATGTAATTATATTCTGTACAGGCTTATATATGTTCTTTCCCAAAAGAATATCACCCTGCAAACCCTCAGCAGGAAGAGGAAAATACTGAAAAGGAAAAAAATAGTTTTTTTATCCTTCTCTGTGGCTTCAGGGCAGTATCCATAAATGAACACTAACGAAAGATTTATTTTCCTTGTTTGCTGAAGCAAAATTATTACACAAGATAATATCTTACTTTAATAACCAAAGGCAAAAAATAAATAAATCAGGTATAACTACTAAGATCAGCCTGATGATTTTATACTAAGGCAATTACTGCACATGTATTGACTCCCAAGAAGCCAATAAATAATTACTAATATATAGAAAGAATAGTTACTTATTTACAAGGTTGCATAAAATTTTACAAAAGAATTGTTTAAAAAGAAGTGGAGACTGTCTTAAAAAAATCATTAAAGGGCAAACTTTTGTGTGAAACTAAAAAATGTTAGCACCTTAACAAAGTCCTAAAGGTTCATTCATGTCTACCCTTTTTTAACAAACCTAGCACAAAGTAAAAATAAAATAAAAAAAATAAAATGTAGATTCATAAAGTACTTATCAGTGCAGGACTATTAGTTGCAATTAAAGCAAACAAAAGCAAAACATATCTAACAATAATGAAATACATTTTCTTGGTGGCAGAAAGGATCATTTTGTGGAAATATTCAACATCACAAGAACCTCACATTTACCTCACAATAAGATAGTGAGTATGAGTGTAAATGAATTTGACATTTTAAGCTTCTTCTAGGTGGATTTCATATATAGACCTCTTAATTATCTTTTGTCAACAAGAATGAAAGAGGCTTTTGGACTCCTAGTTTCCTGTTTGTTTTCGGTCTTTGTTTTCATATTTGAAATTTTGGATTATCTGCCTCTGTTCTCAGTTATCTCATCATTANATTATCTTTTGTCAACAAGAATGAAAGAGGCTTTTCTCTCAACATTTTCTATCAAGCTGTCCTTTTTCATATCTTTCTGGTTTTATTATAGAGCTGAAAAACACTTGCACCCCACCAATCTGTTAAGTAAGAAAATAGGATTGATCCAAAAACACAATCTAAAAGATAAAACCAATATATATAGCTACATTGCCCAAAAGGCAACTTTAAAAGAAAAAAAAAGCAATAGAAATATAGAAAACCCTTTTTTGGGTTGCACCCAATGATGCAAATAATGACATCACTGTACATTTAAACAGGAAGTGCTGTTCCAGTCCCTCCTAAGTCATCAGAGTTTATTCAGGTTATTTAGGTGTGGAATAGACAGTGTTGTTGTAACCAGCACATGAAGGGGAGAGATAAAATTAAACAGCAGACCAACTTCATAAAAAGGCCTTGAGGGAGGAAATAACAGTTCAGTTTCTATTTGGATATCATTAAAAATAGAAATTTGGCAAAAGATGAAAAAGAGAAAAAAAAATTATATAGAATTTAAAAGTCTGTAATACTGAAGCAGCTGAGAGGAAGATGCAAATTTGACTAGACTGAGAGTAGGCCATACACATTTCTATTGATAGTAGAGGAAATGGATTATGATATATGTGAGAGTTGTGGAGAAAATGAAAATGTTCATCAGATTTTGATGAAGTGCTCTAATATGCATCTCAATGGGGGAAGTCATAAGGGAAACACCCAGAGAATGGAGTTTAAAAAGAAATCAGGAGTTTCTACAGAGTGTTGTTTTTATTTTCAAATCATACAAATGTTAGCGTTCTGGTTCTGTTATGTTTTTTTTTTTGGATGTTGCTTTTCTCCTTGTTTTCTAGTTTTTTATGGTTTATTTTTTATATTATTTTGTTCTTTGGTTTTTTCTCAGTTACTGTCTTAGTCTTGGTTCTGTTATGTTTTCTTTTGAGTGTTCAGTTTTGCTTTACTCCATGTTTTATAGTCGTAGTGGTTTAATTCCTAATTTGTTGTGTTTTCTGGTTATTTGCAGTTCTAAGGTTTTTATTTGTTGCCCTCTGCTGCCCTCTTGAGTTCTCCTTTTTTCTCTTGCCCCTTTCTTGTTTCTGCTCTACTCACACCTGTTCCTAATCTGCTTGTTAACCCTCTCTTTGTTTCAGTTTCCTATAAATACTCTCTCTGTTCTGTTCTTCTTTGCTGGGTCCTTGTCAAACTTCCTCCAACTCCGTCTCTCTGAGCCTTCCTCCTTGTGATTGTGATCCCCCTGTTGTCTCCATGGTTTCTGGTTCGCCTTGACTCGTTTTCTTGTTTTGATTTTTGGACTCCTAGTTTCCTGTTTGTTTTTGGTCTTTGTTTTCATATTTGAAATTTTGGATTATCTGCCTCTGTTCTCAGTTATCTCATCATTAAATCCACAAGAAATTCACCTCTGCCGCCCTG